TTATTCTTTATATAGCTTACATACATTTCATTGTTATTTTTCGGAATGAGTTTATGCCGTATACCATTTTTTAAGGAATGTACAAACTGCCATCTAAAATATTTATTTTCTTCATTGACAGAAAAGTCACCAACAATAGTTTCAATATTTTTTGTTCCTATCAAACTTTGGTATATTTCATTGACATATGTTTTATCTGCTTTAGTGTTTAAGGTTTCTTGTAAGTTTGTAATATCAGATATAGAATGTGTATGAGTCTTATTTGCTTTTGTCTCTAATGTTTCTTGTAAGTTTGTAATATTTGCAATGGTATGTGTATGTCCAACGTCACTTTTCCTGTTTAAGGTTTCTTGTAAGTTTGTAATATCAGATATAGAATGTGTATGCTGTTTTTGTGGATATGTTCCTTCTGTCCATTTGAAAATATATTCTTTTGTTGCATCTACATATCCAGTTATCCATGTCAAGTCTGCTTTTGTATTGCTTAACTCTGTAACACCTTTCTCAAGCTCTTTCAACTGTTGTCCATCTTCCATTAAAGCTCTGTCATGACTTGAAACCGTTTGTGCCAACATATCTACAGTTTCTTTGTCAGCTTTATTTTCAACGTCATCTTTTGTTGCATATGTTGCATCTGCTCTGTCATGTTCTTCTTGAACTTTTTCAATGACATATTCTTTGTCAGCTTTGTTGTCAACATCTGCTTTCAAAAGAAGTTCATTTATAGGTTTCTCGTTTAAAGTTCCTTTTGTTGGAATTATACAGACAGTATGGTTCTTATTGTCTTGAAATAGAAACTCATCTGTTAAAGGGTTTAATGTCAGTTTTAAGTTTCCTTCTTTCAATGACTCAGATATCTTAGAATAGTTTGAAAAGTTTGTTGTGTTCTTATTTAGAGCTTGCATAATGAGTTGTCGGTTGTGTTGTATTTCTCTCATAGACGCTGTTTCATTTGACATTTTTATTATAGATAAAATATGCTTCCAATAAAAAAAGAAAATTCTAGAGTTGCTACAAATAAACCATTAGATGAACTTTTTACTAATGTCGGTCAAAAGTTTGAGACAGAGACCGTAAAGCATGAAGGCTATCGTTTTGACTACCCATTAAGATGGTTAAGAGACCCATCCGTCACAAAAGCTATTGGCTTTCGTAGAATGAAGTTTGTCTCACAAGTTCAAACAGGTTTTCCATTTATTGTAAGGTTTCATATAGATTATATATCTGAAGGGAAACGAAAAATGTGGGAAGAAATTGAGCTAATACAAGTTGACCTCTCATCTTCTCTACAGGCTGCATTAAAAAATATAGAAGATAAAATAAATTCATGTTATGCAAAATATGCTGATGAATATGCGAATACCGATAGCACACTTTATGTGAGAATTGTATATGACAAACAAAATTCACAAGTGTCATTTCAAATCTACGAAAACAATCCAAATAAAGACGAACAAATATATACAGAATTCACTGCAATGTCATGGTATTATTTGCAAAGAATGTTAAATCAGAAAGTTGAACCTCCTTTAGCAAATATCTACAGTCGATATGCAAGAGATGAACCATATTTATTTAAAGATGTTTTCGACCAAGATGCTGTGATAGTTCATGCTTCATTTTCTGGCGCCCAAAACTCTTTCTTATGCTTGGCAAATGACTTTTACGAAAAACCTACAAAGTTATATGAACCGCCGAGTGGAAGTATTTCAGACTTTCAAGTATGGTTTACTACAGATGGAAGAAAAAGAATAATTCCATTATACCATGCGTTTTACTTAGAACTTAGTTTCATATACAACTACTATCGAACGATAAAAATATAATTTTTTAATACGGTTGAGGTGTTGGATTTGGTTGCCAACTAGACTGTGGTGCAGGTTCAGGCTGTTGTATAACAGGAGCTTGCTCTTCTGGTTCAGGGTCTTTAGGTATAATACCAACGAACTGACCTACTCTTTTACCAATATTTTTGACTCCGTTCCAAATTCCTCTTCCGACAGATTTTATTCCATTCCATATACCTCTTCCAACATTTCGAAAGAAGTTTCCTATTCTTCCAAAGAAACCCATTTTACTATATGTAAAAATCTAATGTCCGCCTAGTCTCTTACGTTTCCTTCTGAGTTCCATAGCATTTTTTAACTGGAGCTCATACATTCTATTTCTCCTCTGGTAGAAAACATACTCTGGGTCAACTCCTGTGTTCGCGTCATCTGCATAGAGTTGTTTATATCCCACTTCAGGGTTTGTATAAAACTCTTTCCATCTCATATTTGCATACCATGGTGGCAAACCTAACGCAGCGTCATTTGACATGGCAGTTTGCATTTGTACATCTGTTGGCACTTGACCATAGTTTGCCATTGCAGTTTGTATTCTAACTTCATTTGGAATATTCTCTGGGTTTGGTTGTCCAGGTTGCTGTGCATTCGCTAAGTTCTGTGCGTCCATTTAATATTAGATAAAAATATCTCTTACGAGTACATATGCTGAACATTTGCAGGCATTGGTTCATCTTCATATTCTCTGTACTTTTCTGCCACGTCAAATAAATAAATGACACAATGGAAAAAACCTAAAACAAGTAGTCCTATTTCAAACCACATTTACTTACTAATAAAATTTCTTTATTGTGACACTTTCTCCAGTTTATGAGACCTCTCTCATACTCTATCTTGTCATATCTAAACTCATAGTCGTTTATATCTTCTAGCCATTTCATGACACTTTCCAAACCACTTTTATCGGATGTAAAGTAAAAGCATGGATGGTTATGTAAAACGTCTAAAGTTTCTAAAGAGTCTCTCAAAGTCCAGTCTACTTGGTATTGAAAATCCCATGTGTTATAGAACGGCGGGTCCACTATAAAGAAAACATTTTCCTTGTCTTTATATTTTTCATACAACTCTGTCCAATGACATCTCACAAACTCTATACCCTCAATATATTTTTCTATGTCCTCTTTGAAAACCTTTGTATAGTTAAGATATAAAACTTTTGACATAAGTGTTTCAATGTCATGAACTCTTATAGCACCACTATATAATAGTCTAGCAGATATACTATCCCAGTCTATATATTCTGCTTTTTTCAAAACTTCTCTCACAATATCTTTCTTATCTACTGGTATACGTTCCATCTTACCTATAGGTATCTTTTCTTTTAACTCAGTCAATATATTGTTTGTGTCTGGAATATGTTTGAGACGGTCCATATAGTTGTCGAAGTCATTGCATATAATCTTTGAGTCTGGGAATATTGTATGACATAAATGGGATATATAGAAACTTCCACCGAACAAATCTACAAATGTTAGACCATTCGGTAGTTTCTTAAGTTCTCTCAATATAATATCTTTACATCTACTCTTATTTCCAAAGAACGGTAACAGCGGTTTTGTAAAATTCATTTATATATAATAATAAAAATGTTTTTACCCGAAAAGTGACATAAAAGTGACACAAAAAATGACATCACTCATATGATGTAAATAACAACGGTTTTGGTTTTGTCAGCGGCTGGTCGGCTGGGGTTCGGTCCTCCTCTTGGGTCTTGGGCAAAATTTCTTAGGGGCTAGAGGGCGCAACGCGCCTGGAAGCCCCACTCACCTGACCTGTGGATGATCCCATGTGCAGACAGGTTGTAATGGTACGAGATAAGTTATGTGTTCAAAGGTTTATTACGTTATGTGTTCAAAGGTGTAATTAAAAAAGTGCCAAATGGATTGATTGAAAAAGATAAATTATCGGTAAATCAGATAAAAACATATTTCATTTAGAATTTAAGAGTTTTGCAATTTGCCGTTCTTAAAAAGGTAAATAAAGATTATGTTTACGATCATTGTTTAAGATCAAAATTTTGAAAGGAATAATGTTGTAATTAAAAAATCTACAGTATGTTTAATTGAATGATTTTATATTCTAAATATTGTAATAACTTTTTTGATTTTTTATTAATAATCAAACTCCATTGAATTAATTGTATGATTTCTATCAAAAAGTTGTTCACAAATTGACTCGCTAATTCTGAAAATGTCCTTGCTGTTTTTAAATGCGGCATTACAAACATATTCATTTTATTATTTTATTAAAATTTCTTGAAAATTACAATTTATGAAAAGTATTTCTTATTTTCATCTATTTTCTCAAGACATGATTTAATGAGCTGAATCTCCTCTTCTAGAGCTTTGTTTTCTGAAGTTAAAAACGTTATTTGGTCTAATAATTCTAAAGATTTTCTACGGAGTAAATTGATATTATCTTCAAGGTCAAATATATGGTTTATTTTACTATCACGCCATTTTTGGCTGAAATTCTATTTTTTGTCTTTGTGTCTAATTGATCATACTCGATTAATTTATGAATTTTTGGATCTGTGTAGTCTATGTTGCACCAATAGCTATTCGGCTGATTAACATCTAATTTTGGTATTGTGGGAAAATAAAAACGAGAAAATACTGCTGTTGCCATTATGAATTTTAATTTGAATTGCGATTCAAAATTTTAAATTAAGCTTTATTTTTTAATTTTATTTATGATATTTACAAATGGTTCATTTCAATTTTTGTAAATTTTGAGACTCAGAAAATTTCTGAGATGAACTGCATTTCAATTATGATTTCGAAACAACCAATAAATGATATAAATTTATTTAATAGCATACTACAAAATTTTGGATTATTTAACGTTATTCCTGCACGCCAGTATGCCAATATTTGAATGAAACTCTGACGGGCGTATCTGATCTATGAAAAATGAGGGAATTATCCATGTAATAGGTTTCTTCTAAAACAATAAACCTTTTTCTAATTGATGAACCATTTAGATTTAAAGAATCCCGTTGATTTTTATTGTTTTCTTTTAAATTTCGTCATTTTTAGGGAATTCGACCAGAAACGAACATACCAATCCAAAATGGAATTAAATTTAAGACCTACAGGCCAAAATTTATTTTCGTGAGAAAATGAAATGTGAAGTCACTTTTTTACAAAATTTCCCATGAATCAAAAGAATAAACAAAGTGCATTTTCTTCAACCATTATATTTATATTATCAGGTGTTATTGCATTAGTAATTGCCTGTGTTGGTTATTTGTTCTATAAAGCATCTCTTTTCACACAATTATTAGATCAACCTATTCCATATGTTCCTGATGAAAAACTCGACTCAGTTCTTAGAAGATATACCGAAGAAGAAAAGCATAAAGAGATATTACTGATATACGGACCTCCAGGTGTTGGAAAAACACGTGGAATCCTCGAGTTTTCTCAAAAATACAGAAAGGAAGGCAACTTAGTGATTGACTTCGACTTAATTACATACTCGAACTATGCAACAGAAAAAGATTTGATAGATCACATTTGTACAGCGATAATTCAAGCATTTAGAGAGATTGACGGTACGCCATTCAAAGCTGCAGCCCTTAAGGATATCCTTGATCGCGTTGCTTCTACAACATCTTTTATCGCTACGAATAAAATCGGAAAACATTATTTCCTCGGTCTCATTCGTGATCCTCTTCTCCAGAGAGCTGCATCATATCTTATCTCCGCTGTTGAAACTTCCACAGAAAAAGGCGCAAATCTCAAAGCAGCAACTTTATACGAAGCATTAGAGACTTTGAACGAAGCTCTTCATTCATTAATCGTTATCCATGAACCATACAAACTCTACCAGACGGAAGATTGCAAGAATTACTGCGTAGAAACAACACAATTCTTCAGCAAATTATTTGCAAGTTCAGAACGCGCATTTACAACAGGTGTTGTCTTCGATGTTGCCAACCAGACAAAGCTTCCTCTTTTCCATAAGCAGGGAATCAGATTCGTCCGAGTTTTGGAATTTTCACAAGAAACAGGATCAAACGCTCTTTACAACATTTTCAGAGCACCACAGTTCAAAACAATATACCAGACATTCGGCGGAATCGGTCTTTACTTCGCACGTGTCAATGAATTACTTTTGAGTGGATATACTCTAATTGAAGCTCAAAAACTTCTTCTTGACGACATTAAATACAAAGTTACAAAGGTTATCAACACTGCTGAAGATCAGAAAGCAATGAAAGAAGTGTTGAAGACATTAGTTCAAAAAGATCCGAAAAATTCAAACGCTCCTGATAAAATTAGAGAATCTCTTCTTGCTGAGGGATTGTTCTACTACTCCAATGATAGCTTGGACACTCTGATGCCTTCTTCTACTGCAGTTGTTACAGCAATCACTGATGTCCTCAAAATTTCAAAGAAAACAGCTGCAAAGGCAAAATAAACTTTAGATAATTATCATAAATATTGATTTTTTTTATAATAAAATCGAAAAAAAATTTTTAAATTTTTTTATTTTATTTCAAAAAAAATTGAGAAAGGGACAGACTAGCCCATTGTCACTTTTTAATTTAGCAAATGAACGCTTATGGAGTGGAGTTTTTGGGTAAATCTGATTTGCTTATAAATGAAATAAAATCAAAAGAAACCATATTGGCATTATATTATGCAAAAATAAATGATCTTACTTAGTACTTTTAAAGTTAATTTCAGAAAAAATTTGACACAATGGTATCCGGCACATACAAGTGGTGTACAACCAAAATATAAGTTGGTTTAAACATATATTGCTATATCTCATGATCTTACTTAGTACTTTTAAAGTTAATTTCAGAAAAAATTTGACACAATGGTATCCGGCACATACAAGTGGTGTACAACCAAAATATAAGTTGGTTTAAACATATATTGCTATATCTCATGATCTTACTTAGTACTTTTAAAGTTAATTTCAGAAAAAATTTGACACAATGGTATCCGGCACATACAAGTGGTGTACAACCAAAATATAAGTTGGTTTAAACATATATTGCTATATCTCATGATCTTACTTAGTACTTTTAAAGTTAATTTCAGAAAAAATTTGACACAATGGTATCCGGCACATACAAGTGGTGTACAACCAAAATATAAGTTGGTTTAAACATATATTGCTATATCTCATGATCTTACTTAGTACTTTTAAAGTTAATTTCAGAAAAAATTTGACACAATGGTATCCGGCACATACAAGTGGTGTACAACCAAAATATAAGTTGGTTTAAACATATATTGCTATATCTCATGATCTTACTTAGTACTTTTAAAGTTAATTTCAGAAAAAATTTGACACAATGGTATCCGGCACATACAAGTGGTGTACAACCAAAATATAAGTTGGTTTAAACATATATTGCTATATCTCATGATCTTACTTAGTACTTTTAAAGTTAATTTCAGAAAAAATTTGACACAATGGTATCCGGCACATACAAGTGGTGTACAACCAAAATATAAGTTGGTTTAAACATATATTGCTATATCTCATGATCTTACTTAGTACTTTTAAAGTTAATTTCAGAAAAAATTTGACACAATGGTATCCGGCACATACAAGTGGTGTACAACCAAAATATAAGTTGGTTTAAACATATATTGCTATATCTCATGATCTTACTTAGTACTTTTAAAGGTAATTTCAGAAAATAATGAAAATTACAAGTTTAAGGTTAATGAAAAGTGACAATGGGCGAGTTTGTCCCCCACTCAAAAAAAATTTACAAAATAAACTTTAGATAACAATCATAAATGATGTACTTATCACGTTCTGATATCCTTTCACGAAATCAATAGAAACACATTTTTAATTTGAAAATTAATGATCTTTATATTAATTTTTATTAATTTCTGAAAAGGCCTACAAAATTCAATAAAAACAGCTATTTTGGATTCGGCAGTCTCTTTACTATTATTATCTGCTGCAAGGTGAAGAGTGATTAACCCGATTTTATCTTTTTTATTGATATTTGCATCATGTGAGAGAAGAAGTTCTGTAATTTCTTTACTTTTGCCATTTGCAATTTTTCCATTGATATATGCCCCATATGACAGTAAAAGTTCGGCAGTTTCTTTGCTATAATTTTCTGCGGCATAATGAAGAGAAGTTTTTTCATGATGATCATTATCATAGATATTTGCACCACATGAAAGAAGAAGTTCGGCTATTTCTTTGTTATTATTTATTGCTGAAATATGAAGTTTAGTTTTTCTATCTTCATTTTTTTTATTGATATTTGCACCATGTGAGAGATGGGGCTCAAATTTTTCTTGACTATTATGAGCTGCTGCTTTATGAAGAGCTGTATTTTTAAGTTTATTTTTTATATTGATATTTGCTCCAAGTGATAGAAAATATTCGCAAAGGGATGGAATACAAAATCTTATTTGATCAATCGAAAATAACTAAAATTGATTCAAGGTTATTATGAATTTTGCAACATTTTAAATCAATCTCCATACTGTATTCACTAATCACGAATGAAACAAAATCAATGTTGTGTGAAATAATTGCATAACACATACATTCTCAATTTGGTTTTTGATATTTCAAACATTCACTCATGATCTCTGGATTTCCACCTAAAAATGAAAATCGTGAGCATGTTTGAGTTATTTCCGATTTAAATTTCGTTCTTAATAGTTTGAAACAATCAACTGATTCATGAAAACAACATCCAATTTTAAAATTTTCTTTTTGATATCTGAAACATCAAATAGATAGATAGTGATATGGGTATGATCTGGTCATGTTTATGCATAAGAATATCTATTCCATCAAGAGAAAATAGACCCCGAAGTTCCAAAAAATGAAAAGTTGAAGGAATTATGCTATAAAAATTTGAATACAATTGTGGAATAGGAAATATCGTTTTAGATAAATATGATGACAAAAAATTTAAAGCTCAAAGATACATATTTATCATTGTTTGATGAAATTTTCATTATATTTTTGCCAAATTCAAGTTTTGAAGATAGAATTCGTAGTTTATTTAAAAAACAATTTATATGGAATGATTTTTGGATTCAAAATTACATTTTTCATTTTTTCTCATCATTATAAATTCACACGTACAAATTTAATATATTCAACAGCATAAAGAATATGGCAAAGAATCTGCCAAGATGCAAAAAACTTTGTTTATTGGATTATTCTTATTTGGTTTGAAACTTTTTGTTTTTAAGGCTCCACGTTCATAAATTGAGAGCGTCGTAATCCTCCTTTTTTTAATGGCCCATAACTCCGTGAATACCCAAAGCCAAGGGGTCGGAGTATGACCAAATGAAACTGTAGCTTCAACAGCACAAAAAGGGTTTTTCGTCGAAAACCTTGGTAATTACCTCCAAGATCTAATAAATTTCGAAAAATCGAAAGTTGATCTTATTTGTTTTACTTACCCATAAGCTCTTATGCTGCACCATTGTTTTTCGTTATTTGCAATATTTATTTCATTCTCGATAAATAACTTCTACAAATCATATATGTACATTAGAATATATTTTATTACATATAAAGAGCAAAATTCTGAAACTATACAGAATTCTTTTGAATATTTTGTGCATATTTTGTGCATATTTTAAATCATCTATAATAATATGAGTTTGTTTCATTTTATTCTATACCAATCAATTCAAAAGATTAGGCGAATTGATTGCTTTATTGCAATTTATTATAGCTTATAGTTTTTGACATAATTTTAACAAAGATCATATGTAATTTCAATAATATCTTCTGCACGATCATATTTTTCTAATGCACATACAGGATAATGCTGAAATACTACGTTTGAGGTCAAGATTAAGAGTTATTGATATTATTCTCTTTTGAAACTAATATTTTTGAAATAATAATCAAAAATTATTTACTTTTATTTGATTTTATAGCAATCATCATTAGATAATAAAATGCTTACCAGCCCTTGGGGTGGGACACAATTAAATACTTGAAAATTAATTTTGGAGTCCATTAGTGCATAGTATAATGGTTAGAATTCCCTATAATAAAAAAAGGTAGTGGGGCTTCCAGGCGCGTTGCGCCCTCTAGCCCCGAAGATGTTTAGTATAAATGAAGTTTTTATTCGGAGGGCTTCCAGGCGCGTTGCGCCCTCTAGCCCATAAAAAATTTCTGAGGACGAGCCAGCCGTTGACTTTTTTGTAGAGCACTCAAAATAGTATAACTTTGTCCGGACAAGTAAGGGTCTATCGTCGCTACAGGAAAAGTTACAGGCGTTCCAAGGAAGTATACTTTGAGAAGCCTTTTCCCCCTTATAGAATGAGATAAGACGGTTATTTTACAAAACTGACAACACTTTGACCGAGTAGTTTTTTGTGCTGAACAAAAAGTGTCATATAAACATCTGTCAAAAACCGCTTTTTAACTTCACTTAAAATGCCACGTAAGCTACGTAAGAATATACGTAAGAGGAAGGGAGCATTGAAACATCCAATAGTAAAACTGACACCACAACAACAGTTGCAACAACAAATGATGAATGACCCACTATGTTGCAACAAATGTCAAGCAACCCTATGCTTTTAAACCGAGTTATTGGTGCACAGAGTGGAGGTTTAAGAGCGGCACTTTTAGCGAAAATGGCAGGCTATGGTGGAGCTGCAGACGGAACAGCTTATAACCCTCAAAGTCAAATGAATTTGAGTTCACTCAAAATCAAATAACAGATGTCAAAAAGTCAAACATAGACATACAGAAGCAAATAAGTGAAAACGAAAAGAAACTAGAATATGACAGACAGACAAAGAAACTAAATGAGTTAAACGTAAGAAAAAGAAGAAAGAAGAACAACTGAAAGAACTAAGTACAGAGGAATATGCGAAAAAGTGTCAGAAAAAGCAGCAGAAGTAGCAAAAATGGAACAAGATGTTATAAATTTGAAAAACCATACTACTCAATATAAAGTACTGAAAGATGAAGAGATAAAACAAAAAGCCCTGAAGACATATATGGATAGCGATGAGTATAAAAAAGAAGTTGAAGCAAATGTAAAGGCAGAAAAACTTTTACAGTTGCAAAACCAAACCGTACAGTATGAAAACTTAGCACAAGAAAGTAAAAATAACGACGCAGCCATGCAAAAGGCAATGAAAAGCGCAGATATTATAAAAGCTAATAATGACTGGTTAGATGCCCAAGCCAACGCTAAAGCAGCCCAACTTATAGGGTCAATAAGGACAAAAATACAAGCGGATGAAGACAGTTCAAATGAAGCTTTAATGAATGCTGACTTTAAGAATGCCTTCGAAGCTCTTCATAGTAAGGTGAAACTAGTGAACGACTTCTCATCTGGAAAGAAACTGAAGTCTGAAGGTTTCGACAACGAGTTAAGAGAAGTAGCACAAAATATGACGAAAATAACAGATGCAGCAACGAGACAGGCAGTTCAAAGTGCC